TGTTGCCAACACATGAAGAATTCAGAAATAGCTGGCCAGTATTTTGGCTTAGATACATCCTGCAGCTGCCTACGTGGATGTTATGTAAGCCTTGCCTTGAGGTATTGGCAGAGATCTAATTTGAATTCCATGGGCTCCCCCAGCTATTATCCTCAAAAACTGCGTAGTAGACCCTAAATATGCTGCAAAATGAGTTTGTAAGGTTAACAAGATATAACCCAGACAACATTTTGTCTTTCTCCTTTGGTCAGCAGATTAGTGACTGATGTTTGTCCTCATGTCTTTTCATAGGTTTTCACTGATTAGCATTACACCATGTGGGTGACAAACGTCGTAGCCCTGGTCTTCCTGGCCACTTCAGCCTCAGCTGCCACCTCTGCTTCAGCAGACAAAGTCCTGAGTAACCACGCCACCATCCTGGCTGACAACAGCGCAAAATTGGCTTTCAGTCTCTATCAAAACATGGCTAAGGAGAAAAATGTAGAAAACATCCTCATTTCTCCTGTAGTAGTGGCCTCCTCTCTGGGTCTGGTTGCTCTCGGGGGCAAAGCCTCAACTGCCTCTCAGGTCAAAACCATTCTGAATGCGGATAAAGTTAAAGATGAGCAGCTGCACTCTGGTTTGGCTGAGCTCCTGACGGAGGTGAGCGACCCAAAGACCCGCAATGTCACCTGGAAGATTAGCAACCGCCTGTATGGACCCAGCTCCGTCACCTTTGTGGATGATTTTGTCAAGAGCAGCAAAAAGCACTACAACTGTGACCACTCCAAGATAAACTTCAGAGATAAGAAGAGTGCTGTGAACTCCATCAACGAGTGGGCGGCCAAGTCTACTGATGGCAAACTGCCTGAGGTCACCAAGGATGTAGAAAATACGGATGGGGCAATGATCATCAATGCTATGTTTTTCAAACGTGAGTCTGTGCAGAGGGTGTGTATGTGCAGTGTTATTCCATTAAATGCTTTAAAATAATTGATTTTTTTCCTCAAAGCTCACTGGGATGAGCAGTTCCATCATAAGATGGTGGACGACCGTGGATTCATGGTTTCCCGTGGCTACACCATATCAGTGCAGATGATGCACCGCACAGGTAGGTGGAGACAGTCCATGTTCAAAAACAACATTTGTCAAACTTGAAGAAATAATTGACATTTTGGTACATATCTGTAAATAAGTGTAAAAACTAAAATTTGATTCTTCTTTTTTTTTTTTACGGTGGGTTAAAGGTCCAGTGTGTAACATTTAGGAGGATGTATTGTCAGAAACAGAATATAATAGTCATAGGTTTATTTTCATTAGTGTATAATCACCTGAACATAGGAATCATTGTGTTTTGTTAATAATTGTTAATTTAATTAACCATTTTTATCTACAGACACTGTTTTTGCTTTCCATAAAGTCCTCCATGTTCATCTGCCATATTTCTACAGTAGCCAAAAACAGACAAACCAAACACTGGCTGTAGATAGGGAATTTCACGTGTTTCGTGGGTTTCCTGGCCACCATAATTTCGTTAAATTTTGTTAAATACATATGCCAGCAGTGTTCAGATAGTTGGAATCTGAAACTTCAACTCTAGATACTACTAAATCCTACACGCTGGTCCTTTATATTAAATTGCAAATATTTGTAATACATTTCATTTGTTTCCTCAGGTCTATTTGGCTTCTATGATGACAAAACCAATAAGCTGACCATCCTGAGCATGCCTCTGGCTCATAAGAAGTCCACTGTGGTGTTCATCATGCCCCACCATGTGGAACCTCTGGAGAGGCTGGAGAAGATACTCACCAAGAAGCAGTTGGATACATGGATGGGCAAGCTGCAGCAGACAGCAGTAGCCGTGTCCCTGCCCAAAGTCAGCATGGAAGTCAGTCACAACCTGCAGGTAAAAGATGAGCAAGAGATTGAAAATGATTACACCCCAGTCTTAACTTCTGCGTTAACTACGTCTCTTATATAAACTGATTTAATTTTCTGCTCCCCTTAAGAAACATCTTGAGGAGCTGGGCCTAACAGAGGCCGTGAACAAATCCAAAGCTGACTTGTCCAACATCTCTGGGAAGAAGGACCTCTACCTGTCCAGCGTGTTTCACGCCACTGCCATAGAATGGGACACTGATGGAAATGAAATTGACACTAGCATCTTTGGCACAGATAAGCTAAAAAACCCTAAACTGTTCTATGCTGACCACCCATTTATTTTCCTAGTGAAGGACCAGAAAACTAACTCCATCCTGTTCATTGGAAGGATGGTCAGGCCGAAGGGTGAAAAGATGAGAGATGAATTGTAACCACGTGTTGACCTGAGTGTCTAAGTCAAATGCCTAACTGTGTGTGTGTATATATTTTCTACTGCAATATGCGGAGAGAAGTGGGGAATGAAATTATGAAAAATGAAATCGCATTCCTTTACGTCACATGCCGACAGCATTCCACAATACACGACTGAAGACATGTGTTTAAACATTTTTCCTGTGTTTAGTGAGCAAAGCATTGTGCACAATTTCATTTTTATTTTGAAATATTTTATATCACTATGAGGCTTTTTTGTTATATATTGGCAGGTCACAATACGGACTGAAGACTTACATTAAGTATGATTTCCCTGGTTAATGCCTAAAATGTAAATGCACATATTAGTTTAATGGCAGGGAATACCTGTGAAATATTATGAAAAAATTATTTCTGTTGTCAGGTCTTAACAATTTTCATAAAAGGTGTTCAACCATTTTACTATTGGAGAGATTTTATGGTGCTTGCTCTTGAATTTAAGAAAATATGTTTCAGTTTGTTTAGTTTTGTACCTTTAATATGTTAACTCCAAGGATCTTCACCATTATCTGCCCATTCTTTGCACTGCTTTCCACCACTAGCACAAGACTAATTTTTTCTTGGTATTGATCTACCCTCAATGCACTGGTCTAGACTGGCAAACCAACCGAATTCAGTCTGATTTGATAATAACGATTGATCGATCGATTTCAAAATATGTTTTAGACTGTTACAAATTTCAGGTTTTTGCAATAAAAGTGTGAAAAAAACAAGTGGTGGCATGTTTCTTTGTGTAACAGAAGACTCTGGCTCTCTCTGTCTGAAAGTCTGTTTGCAATAGCAGTTTGGCCTTGGGCAGGTCTGTTGAAGTCTGGCCTCCAGTGGGATTTTCCAGCTGAATAACATGAGCAAATTCCAGGGAGGGTGATTGTGTGACCTCCTGGACAGCGCCACTTCAGCAAGAAACGTGATAGAGTTGCAATGGTAAACACTACATGGTAAACATAGTATCTTCATTATTTAGACATCAACAAAATATTTAGGTATCCCACAAACAGATGGGTTCTTGATCTACTGAGCAAGTAATTGCCAAACGCTATATCATCAACCTCCCACCTGCTTTAGGTTTACAATGAAACAGTCAGTAATGAGCCAACGATTGATTAGCATATAATAAGTATTTTATGTTTCAGGGTATCCTGGAACCTTTTTTGAATGTATCACACCATCTAGAGGACACTGGATGTATGACAGAACAGTGATTATTATTATTATTTTTTTTAAAGTGATTGTTTTTATTTCTAAAATATATTCCTTATCATAAGACTTAAAAAGGGGGGAACAATGATTGACATAAAGTTTATGAGATATACGCCTTTATTGTGTCTGACCTTGATCCATAATTAGTCAAAGCACTGCATTGCTACTTACAGTAGTTAATTCTCTTTAATGATGACAGCCTGCTGTAGACAAACCGGGGAGATGCTTCTATGGCGTGTTTGCAGTCTTGTACCTAAACTCCTTAAAATGAATTACTGTATGCAGTTCATCAGTCAACTACCTTTGGGCTCTGAGATACAGAAGCACGGAATGCAGGACTGCTTACAGATCTCATACGCTGACTATATTTGTTGATCTTTTTTCTTTATAGATGGTTGTATTACTACTGATGTACATCCCGTTCTGCCTGTGTCATGATCTTGAATGCGATATTTATTGACAGTGATGTATGCTTGTTGTGTTCCTCTTTTGCTGAGCTGCATGACAAACATCTGTCATATGATTGCTGATGTAGAAATAAAACACTGAACTGAAACTATTTCATACTGTAATGTACATAGGACGTTTTTAAATTGCAGTTTGTGATAAAAGCTGCGGGTAGGTAATTCCTATAAAAATATTTTTTGTCAAATTTGCTGAAATGTTCACTGTACCCTGACAGTAGTATGTGAGACAGATAATCAGGGAAAAAATCCAAGTTTCTCAGGTTTGTTAAATGGCATAGCAAAAATCCACTGGGCCTGAACGAAAACATCCATTTAGAGCCAGGAAAGATAGTTGATTGTTGAGTCTCATTCCCAGGAAATCAAATACAGACGCTTTGTGACCCTGAGACTATCTTCAAGCTTCCAACCCAAAGCATCTTCATATCTTTCTCGCCTCTGGTTGGTTGTTTTTCATCCAGGTCTTGTGAATTCTTGCCAAATGCCATTAGGAGCACTAGAACGAGCTGGAGGAACTAGATTTTTTCACAGATGTTCTGTCTCATGTACTACTGTTATGACATGGGGAAGATTTCAGCACATATGACAAAAAGTTAGCTAATAAAAGTTACTGACTGCAGCTTTAAATAGGCTAATCCAGTGGTTTGAGTAGCTAATGCGCTAATAATAATAATCATACTGAATGTCACCATGGGACAGATATAGGCCAACATATCTAAACATGAACTAAAATAAAACATAAAGGGCTATTTGAAATTACATACATGTTAATAGAACTTCAACTGTAACACAATTAGTAACCTACAAATTAATTTTGTGGTTAATTTTAGGATAAAATTGAGTACAAATTAAAAAGACTCCAATTTTTTCTATAATTGCACCAATTGGCTGCACATAGAATAATAAATGATATGCAGATGACTTGCAGCCTTCCTTGGACTGCCACTAACAGCAGTAAGTTCCTGTTTATCGCGGTGGACTGGCTGTTCGTCGCTCGTGAGGAGGAGGGCCGGAGGAGTGCTCGTGTTGTGATGGGACTACAAATCCGTTAGTACCGTCCACAGCCTCCTCCTCTTCCATCATGGCTCCCTCGTTGGACAGGCAAGGATACTGGGGGCGGCCGACCTCAACGCTGGACTGGTGTGAAGAAAACTATGTCATCTCTTTTTACATCGCGGAATTTTGTAAGTAATATACAATTGCGTCTTTTACTCTAAAAATGGCGAATGTGTGGTTCGTTGTGGCAGAGTGTTGGGGTGGACAGTCAGCGTGTACGCACAGTCGCCCCGGAATAACGTAAACATGAAGTAGGAGCTGCGGCTCTAACAGTAATGTAGTGGTTTTAACGTTACCGTTGTTAACGTGTTAGCTCGCCTTATATGAATAGTAGTATCAGCTAAGTGTTAGCATTAAAACAGCTAGAGTTATAACGTTAAATGAGGATAAAGGGAAGCTTGTGCATGTAACGTTAGCTAATCAACCTGTCGAGCTGTTTTGCATACAGCTTTACTGTAACGTTAGGTTATTATGCCGCCCTGCAGAGCGTTAGCTAGCGTTATCATTCACACGTTATTACAATTACCACTCATTAGTATTAACGTTAAGTCGACTGTTTGCCCTCATAAGGTGCACAGCATTACTCACTCAGACACCATTTGAAACTTGATAATACATTTCCTCCATACTATCAGGGTGCCTTCTTGCTTTGTCTAACGATAAAAACTGGTTCCTCAGGAACCATTATCTTAGATTTAAACCTTGTTAGTGTCAAAAAGCTGCCCTGTCTGCGGGACTTCATGCATACATTACATATCCACCAGCTTTTACTAACGTGCAGGGACACAGAGTTCCCTTCAAAGACCTTCAGCCAAACTGCATTAGACAAACACTGAAAGTAATACTTTCAGTTACTCATTATTGTGCAGGCAACTTGAGCTCTTGGAAGTGAACTAGGCTGTGTATTTGTCTTTCAGCTGTGAGTCATAAACCATACACATTCACTGGGCGTTCACTGAAGATAAAGTCTTGATTTTCCCTGTATGTTAAGGACCTTCCAGGTGCTGTAGTCAGTGGTGCTCTGGTACTAAGTGATGCAACAGTTAGTCTAGGTATACTCAAGCCACTTGGGTCAGAGTTTAGTTCCATTACCGACATTACATCCTCTGTGTAATTTGTCAATGTTAATAACCCTTTGTAGTGGGAAACACTTTATTTCATTGTCCTAAAAAGTCCTACTATAAGTCGTTAGTTGTCATTCATTCATTCATTTCACTGAAACGTTACTAAACATTGGCACTGGTGTGAATGCAGTATGTTAAGGATACTGCCAGTTGAAGCTTTTGTTTGCACAAATGACACACGCTGGCCGAGCCACACATTTGTTGTCAGCCGCAGAAGAGTTGTTTGGCATTTAAACGGTGATTCAGGTTACAATGGTTGGAATGTGGCATTGTTCATGTGGAAAAGAGACACCAGCATGGTTTTAATCCTCACTTATTTTTTTACTTACTTTTGTACATGATCTCTCTCTGTAGAATATCAGCACATGGTGACGGTAGAAGGCAGACACAGAGCGAGGTCATAAAGAGTCGGCCACACAGGACGTTTGCAGTTGTCACTGAAATGTGAAAACAGTGCTGTAGTATTCTTGGTGTGTGTGCATTTATTATCAGTAACCAAAGTCCAGACATTTTGAAATGGTCACTGTAAGGCCTTGTGGAAACGCCTTGGCTTTTATCAGACACATGCAGATAAAGGAAAAGTCTCATGTTCATGAAAATACCAGTAAGCAGTGTTAGTACTACTTCACATCCTGGTGAGCGTGATAGTTTTCCACACCTTTGGACATCACCACACCCAAAAGAGCAACGTTGGTATCAGAGTTTGAGCTCTGCTTTCTCAGGTTCTATGTGGGCTTGAGGATGTACTAACAGTATAGTAAATAAACAGCTTTGGCCTAGGGGAGGTTTACACACAAACCTAATAAAACACTGACACCAGTTCAAACTTAGGCCACTTTTACAAATAAAGCTTAAACGTTTAGCTTGAGGCAAACTTAACAACAGTTGTTGAAGTTTCTCTTCCACAGTCCAGGTTCTTTCAGTTGTTTTCAGTTTGCTACAACCACACTGTAGTTAAGCTTCTTCACAAACAATTAATACATTTTTCATCTTTTAGCTCATTTATTACAAATGAGCGGGACAAACAACTGCAACACAAAATACACACATTATAAAACAATTAGGGCTGCAGCTATCAACTATTTTCACTATCAATTAATCTGCCTATTGTTTCTTGGTTAACTGATTAATTGCTTGTCTATAAAACATTAGGAGACTCTGAAAAATGACTTATCTGATGATAAATAATGAGGTGATTAATAATAATGTAAGCAGGACATTTTTATAATTGATAGTCTGGAACGTTTGTGCCATTCCTGCTTGAAAAATGACTGGAACGATTAATTGATTATCAAAATAGTGCCATTTGTTTAACTGATTACTCGACTAATCATTGCAGCTCTAAAAACAAGAGAGAAGTCCCACTCGAGTCCACCCATCATTCACCATTTATCACATTTATCCAGTATCTGTGTCTCTACAATTGCCAACCCAAATACTGCAATGTTACCAGTTTACCAGTGTAGTTACAGTGACAGGTGCACAGTAATTCTAGTATTTCAGTGCTGTGAATTCTATTTAAGCAATACAATAGAAAATGTATGTATGGTTGGAGCCCACATAGCAACAGAGGTGTGTGCACTAATCAGGTTTCTGTAATAAGATACCATTCATTCTATGCAGATGCCTATAGGTATATAAACTGTTGGACAATCTCCTGAACACATAAGGAAGTGAAGGCCTATGTTGCATGTATTTGAATGCACTTATGCCTGCATTAGTCTCTTTTATGCACTACATTTATGTTTATGTGGCAGCCTTTACATTCAAGATAAATGTACTCTACTGAGGAATAGCAGTTTTGAATAAGTAATCTTGAATCTGTTGTTAAAATGATCACCACACGTAACCCAGGGTGTCCCACTGTACTCTCACTGGCATTCAGAGGCACTCAGAGGTGTTCACGTATCACACAGGTCATGCCATTTGCCTCTAATTTGCCTGTGTTGTCTTATTGAACAGGGAACACTGTCAGCAACCTGATTATGATTCTTCCTCCTCTTTGTGGGGCTATCCAGACGTTCCGTGATGGCCTCGAGTTTCGCTACGTCTGCTCTTTTCTCGGATTGGCAGGTTAGTCGGTTGAAACCACAAATTTCCCCTGAAACTACTGACGCCAACACAGCTCTTGTTTACATATCGTAGTTATTGACAACAGCCTTTCCAGTTGTATAGTATTTGCTGTTAAAGCCGTCAGTCGTATTACGTACACATAGGAATGTCTTGACTTCCAGTTTGATGTTTTGTGTGTCGCCCAGCTGTTGGTGTTGGTTCCTGGTGCTTCCACATGACGCTGCTATATGAGATGCAGGTGGGCTACAGTGTTGTATTCAAATCTTAATATATCAGCAAAAGTGTATACATAATCATTTCTTGCTGAAACTACATGAATCAGACTCCTTGTTGCCTTGAGAAGTATCTGTAATGGAAATATGAGGTCAAACTTTTGCTGCCTAATGCGATGTTAAGTTATGCTGAAACAATGTAATCCTATAGAGATGTATTCATTTGTATTTCCTCTGTTTTTCATTTACAGTTACTGGACGAGTTGCCAATGATTTACAGCACATGCGTATTTATCTACTGTCTGTAAGTGGCTCAACATTTTGGATTTGTTGCTCTTGAAGCACTTAACACTGATGGTCACTGAGAACATATTTAGTGTGATTGTGGCTGTAAAATGAACCTGTGAACCCCGTACTGGTCACTTGATCCTTTCCAAAAAAGGAGAGTGTGTCATCTTCTTGTTGTGCTAGATTGTTCTGTATGTAATGGAACTATTGATTCTAAACTGGACTGTGAGTATCTCTTTCCACTTGACCTCTCCACCCAGCATATTCCATGCCATTAGAAGCAGTGGGTATACTTCCCAGCTGACCATCGTGGCCAAAGTATCAGCAGCAGCGTCTTCTAACACATACCTGTTAGTAGTTTACATTAGGAGTCTCTCTCGTGGAATAAGCCTCTTTTCTCTGCTTCCTGATGTAGATGAAGTGTTTGTTAAACCATCTGAAGACTGATCACTGGTTGGGAGAGGATTGGCTGTGCACACTGCCTCCTATAGACCAGGCCTTGGTTCTTATATATACTGTATATATATCATTTGTTGCCAATCAGTGGCCACCTTACATTACGTGATGTGTCTTAAACAGTCTCCACAGTGTCAGTCGCCATGCGTACCTGGAATATGTAGAGTGGAGAGGGAACATGGGCTACACATATACCTTTCTGTTATTTGCTCTCTATTCTTTATGGTTATTCAAGCTGAGCATGTGAGCTAAACACATTTGCTTCTTTTTCCAGATATGAATGCTTCAAACAAGAGCATGGCATCAGCTTATTTCCTATTGCACTGCTATTAATCTTCAGTGTCTCAGTCACTGTGGTGAGTATCCACTTTAACTGTAATGGTAATCACTTACTTAGAACCACATTGTAAATGAAGAACAACATAACATCACATGCTCTTGAGTAGTTTCTGTATGTATGTTTGCAGGTGTACCTACAGTGGAAGGAGCCAGTCTTTCACCAGGTAAGGGAGTGCTCTGCTTTATGTTCACCTGACTCGGATTGTTCATTGTTTACAATTAGGGCTCAGTGTGCCTTAAGTTAGTGTAAACATTGGGCTTGCCAGCACAGCAGGCCACTCTCCGTCTGAAAAAAACCCCATTTCATATCAACACAGATGTGCAAAAAAAAACATTTATTGGTATTTTACTCTTTGTTTCCTTGCTGCTTATACACTTTTAGCATTTAAAAAATCACAGATGCTAAGCCCGATGCTCAGAGCAGAATTCTTAAATCTAAGAAATCTAGCAACCACATAAACCATTAAAGATAAGCACAGCCACCTCTGGGTTATACCCAGTGCTTGTCTGTACCTGCTCAGTCTCACGTTGTGTGTGTGTGTTGCTTTACAACAGTTAGGACAATGTGACAAAGCTGCCTATGTTTACTCTTTGGAGCTGACTTTGTTTACTAATCACACTGCTCTATGGTGGTTCATAACAGGACTGATAATGTTTTCCCTGTAGAGCCAAACAAACAAGTACATAGAGTTTGGTTCAGATCATTTAAATGTAATTTTTCCTATTCCTTTAATAATCTAGTGCCTCCGATTTATCTTGGAAAGCACCTGTCTAAGAGAATGAATTTATAAATCACTAAATTATATAAACTTTCATATTATCACTTGCTGATTTTAATTCAGCAATTGAAACTGTGGTGCAGTGGCAGAGCGAGTTGTCCTCTAATCAGAAGATTGTTGGTTTCGATCCCCGGCTCCTGGTGCCACACGTCTAAGTATCCTTGAGCAAGATACTTAACCCTGAAATGCATTGCTGTGTGAATGTGTGTGAAAGGGTGAATGTGGCACGTAGTGTAAAAAGCGCTTTGAGTGGTCGGAAGACTAGAAAGGCGCTATACAAGTACAGGTCCATTTACCTACACGTACGGTATTTACAAAACATAAATGTATTAATAGTTTGTCAATTTTGTTATATTCTTCTTGCCCAACTGTGTTTCAAAGCAATAGTATTTGATTTCTTCTAGGTTCATGTTATGGTGCTTAGTTTTGCTGCATTGGATGCAGATTTTTCATTGTTACGTCGGTAAGTTTGCCAAGGAGGTGTGTATAATGAAAACCATTAACATATCAAAGAATGCTGTTCTTCACGTCTTCAATGAGCTAACAACGGTTGCCCTTGGTTTTCTTTGTTTTTGTTTTCATTGTTTAGGGTTACCATGGGCAGCCGCTGTGTTACCTCCTTAGGGGTCTTTATGTTAGGCGCTTCTGCTTGTTGAACTCAGACATTTTTCTGTGAACATTAAAGGTGGGAGTATTTTTGTTGGATAAACCTAAGGGTCTTGCTTAAAGCTTAAATTTGGATTTGGGGGGCAAAGTTGGTTCTTCCTCTTTACAGCAGTGTGGTGGAAATTTCAATCAACTTGGGTATGTGGCATTCACATTTGTTAACTGTAATGCTTTGTTCTATTTTAAAGGACCAAATCAGGGGAACTAAAGTAATGTCGATGCCTGGAAATGAAGCGTTATTTAACTTTTGGGCATAAGAATCTAACCTGAGGCCAGTTGTGTAGGGAGAAGTTGGCATTAGAGTGGTAGTTTCAGTCCCCCCTGCTTCCCCCCCCCTCTTGTCTGTTCAGGCTCAATCAGCATTGGCTCTTTTCCTTTTTCGTGTTTTTTCGTTTTGCACCTACAAAACGATTTTAGTTGGTTGCATCACCCCATGCATCACTACACACTTATCTTAAATTTATCTAAATGCATGAGGCTATGTTCGGTGTTTATATTTTGGAACTTTAATATGCATCCTCTTCTGGAGAATCTCATACTGTATGAGATACAGTTTTTTTTTTTTGTTATTTAAATTGTTGGGTGAACACTTTTTTGGCCTCTCAGATCCAGCAGACAAACGCTTCCCCCTGGTGTTGGAGTAGTAACACAGTTTCATGCCTGGTGGCACATCTTCACAGGCCTTGGATCCTACCTGCACATACTTCTCAGGTAAATTCCCTTAAGTATGTTACAGGAGTCCTCTGCACTACGCTTTATTGTGGCGAGTCTTAGTCATTTGCATTGAAATCTCATGTTCATCTTTTAGCCTGCAGATCAGGTCAACCTACCTCAAGTACAGACCAAAAGTAAAGGTATGTCCAGCCCTTCTTCTTTACATATTGTAGCTTTTATTTAATTGCATTCATTAATTTATTCATTCATGTATTTTTCTTATCTTATCTTTACTTTGCTCAGTTTCTTTGTGGAATTTGGCCCACATTGCACATTGAACCACAGAAGACGAGCTGAAAGAGGATGGTGACTGTCATATCTAGACACCATCGGCACAGGGACCTGCCAATGCCCACTGCTGGGTACTCAGCCCACAGCTAGGGGACAGGTGGACCCCAAGGCACCACCCCAGGGACCCTTCGGTTCTGCTCTGTGGGGATTTACTAAGTACAGTATAGCACTGAGTCCAGTTTTAAGAAATGGAAGATGTTTTCATTAATCATAATTTATTAGACTAGCTTTTCTGTAATTTTATTGAAGTGTTATAATTTTATTTGCTCATTCATTCTCAATGCAAATATGATAATTAATATGATAGTCCACCGCAGTGGTAAATGTTATGGGGTTATGAATGTTATCTTAATTTGGGTTTGGGAAAAGGGAGAACTGTCATTGATTCAGAATTCACATTACCACACTAGCATCTCCTAAGCCTAAAGACATTTACATAGATCCCCAAACTAAAGTATAACTAAGATTTTTGCTAACATGTAGTTTTTACAAGTAGCTGAGGGATCTCTACTTACAACACAGTGTTGTCATATCTCTTTTCAAGGAGTATCGTATTGTTTTTGGATGTGCTCACTACAAATGGCATAGTAACTGCCAGCTAGAAAATTAAAGTGATACTGTGTTAGCATAAATTAAAAATCCTCCTTCATTTGCATGGCCCACGATGCCTTCAAGTTTGAGGACAGAAAGTGGGGTTCCTGATCAGAACATGCCAAGACTGGAATTATTAATTTCTTGTTTTTATTGCCAAAGTTGCTGGTTTGGGACAACTGTCGTGTGATGTGTGACATGTTTTACCTCGTTCTAATCAAGCAAGAGATGCAGTGCTTGTAGTTTTGTTATACAACCTCATTACACTGAATTTTCATTTTGCGTAGGACAGGGTTAAAGATCTTCATCTCAAGTTGCTGTGGACAGAGAAATGCTTTAAAGTGACACTGCATACAAACTTTGCTCTGTGAAGGACTAGAATTTTACAGCCAGCTCCCCAAGGCCACAGGGTTTGTTATGTTAAAAAACCCTTTTTTTTTGGGAATTGTTTGGTCTGATCAAGCACAAATAATGCAAACATGCAGAAACATCACTGGAAATGCATTAACTCAACCTACCCATAGTCTCTCTCAAGCCATTATCCGTGTCAAGATAAATGTGTATAATACAGCTAGCTTTGAGGGCATTGCGAGTTAAAATGCTGATAGTTGAAACCCAGCGGATGAAGCCAGTTAACAAAGACAACCTGTTTAAGAGGAACATTTCCTATTAGTAATTGTCAACATTCAGTCAAAGGACCAAGAGAATGAATGGAACATGTCTGAATCATTGCATCTTCATAAGCTGTAGGGAACAGGGTACTACTAAATATCTGTTGTCACCTCATTCCTTATTAGAAAAATACTTGTTTTAGTTCAGACATAACTTTATATACAGGTTAAGACTTAAATGTATCCAACAAAACTACTACTTTTTTTTATTACACTCTTATTTATTAGTCCTTTTATTATTTCAATTATCTGCTCCATGGCATCTAGGTGAAGAGTCAAATGGCACATACACCTAGGGTGATATCATTGTGAAACAGTCCATGATACAACCACTAGGTGGCATAACTTTCCAGATTATTTAAGACATTGCCAAGCATGCCGTTGTGCATTGAAGAACGACTACCTACCTACTGTAGAACTTTTAGGATCTTTGCCTCAGTTTTCAAGTACTGGATCTGTGGTGTGAAATGAAGGGCTTTTCATTTACAATGTTTGTTTTGCTACTGGGAAAATGTGAATATGTAATGGTAACAATATAACCTGGAGCTTAAAGTAATTGCGGTAAATTAGAAAATGCAGAACATTATTGTTGTATGCAGATATATGTATTTGTGTGGCCTCCTAAACTGCAGACAACACATACTGCATTCATATTTCATTATGCCCACATGCTGTGTCACTAACCCTCATGTGCTTAACAAGTTCGTGATCATAGTGTTACAAACTGTTATAAGCACAATGTATGACAGATAAGTATTAACATTGCTCATATCTCTGTGTGGAATCTTCAATATATGTTATTATCTTGAAATCACTGCTCATTAGTAGAGGTGAGCAGTTGTCAAAGAGGGTGCCTTATTGTTATTCTTGCAGTGTAACCTAAGTTGCCTTGATGTTCGTGATTAACCATTCAAATCGTTCCTTGTGTTGTGCAGTGTGCCTGTCCCCTGATAATAAGCAGCTAAGGCATCAGGAGGAGAAACAATAACAGCTTCTAATGCGAAGTATGTGCCTGATTCTTTGGCCTTCCATTCATTTCAAGTCCAACATCTTAGTTACAGGTTGTTCTACGATGTTAACTGTAATTGATAATACTTGAGGTGAGAAGAGCAAACTGCCAACGTGTTTGGTAAACTTTGGTCATGTGCCAGTCATTAATGATGTCCTGTATTGTCAAATAAAAGAAAATGTGTCAGACAATTTGTCTGCAGAAGAACTTTTCTTTGTCTTAGTCCCTTTTTTTTGAAACAATATTTCACTTAATGTTTATAACGGTGATTATTTGGGTGCTGCTCAAAGCAGCCATCCACAACAAATGTTACTTATGAATTCATCATATCAGGAAATGTTGCGTTGTCAGGAATATGAATTCAATCATGTGGGTCCCAGCGTAATGCTCCTCTTACTCATGGATAAGGGTGGTTTGTTTTTTCTTCTGTATTTGAGATGCTGGCATTTGTAGACTGGATTCAGATTTTTTATTTCTCTTACGAATGTTTACTTTTAATGTTTTAAAATATGCAGGAAAAGTACTGCTAAATGGATTCCAAAGTACCTTATGAACATTTACCCAAATACTGTAGTTACATACATACATCTGTAATAGGCTACTAAACATGGGTCATTTAGAGCTCCAGTGTGTAGAAGGATCTATTGACAGAAATAGATAGAATAGTCATTAGTTTATAATCGCCTGAGAATGAGAATACTTATGCCTTTATTACCTTAGAAGATTTTTATCTTGGGGCGGCTGTGGCTCAGAGGTAGAGCGTAGTAGTTGGAGTAGTTGTCCACTATTTGCAAGGTTGTTGGTTCTATCCCCGGCACCTCCCCCTGCATGTTGAAGTATCCTTGAGCTTGAGCAAAATACTTAACCCCAAATTGCCTCCCGATTGCTGTGCAACAGTGGTGTGGAAAATGTGCGTGAATGAGGGTATTTTCTGTTTGATGAAATGTGGCACGTAGTGTAAAAGCACCTTGAGTGGCCGGAAGACTAGAAATACAGGTCCATTTACCATTATCTACAGAATGGTGGGTCAGTCACCTTCCATTGAAGCCGCCATGTTATATCACCATGTTTCTACAGAAGCCCAGAACAGAACAACAAACAAACACTGGCTCAGGTTTTTTTTGCGTTTTTCCCTGCCACTGTTGTCCTGACGCTACTAGATGCCACTAAATCTTAACATATCACAGGTTAAGATTTAACATATTTTGATGTCACATGGGTAAAATAATATGCAGAAAATAAAAAATAAATATAGTACAGTACATTTGAGAGAGAAAGAAAACAATGTAGACCATTTCTTGGTAATGTTATGAACATTTGTGTATTATTTCATTCATTATTTCCCAATTTAACTCCAGTACAATGAGCTTCTAAAATTATAGTTTTATGGGTTGAACTACCAATTAGAATAAAAACTACTGTAGTTAAAATGAGCTTCAGCTACAACATTAATAGTAATGTTATAGTAATAATTAGATATTAGATAAAGTTCAGATATATATGCTGTGAGGCTAATTTATCCTCAGCAACTCAGAAAATTTTAATGTAGGCATGTATTTTGTGTGATAGTTGCTGCTTTTACTTAAGTAGAAAGTCTATACTTTTTAATGGCAAATTTTTAAGAACCTTTATACAACCTCTTTGACCCTGGTCATTGTAAAACCATTACCGCAGTCTGTTAAAAAGGCTATTATATCATAGAACCTTTCCAAGTCCAGGTAAAGTGTGATGTTGAATGACCTTCACTAAGGAGCCATGGTCATGATCATCCGCACCACAACTATCTGTCTGTCACTGTCCTCAGGAAATGTGTAAAACTGTGTTAGGACTGACGCCCAACAGGGAATAAAACCATACTGCTTCTTCCCAATCTTCACCCCTTTTGAACTTTCCCACATATGAGAGTGGGGTGACAGTTGAGACCAGTTTCATGGTTGACTTGAATAAAACCTTACAGAAAGCCATGGTATGCTTTATTAAACAAATAGCCACCACAACTTGCTCTGTGTAAATGGAGCCTCCCAAAATGAAAGGGTTGTTGTAACTGATCATTTTGAGAGAAAACATTACCATGCAACCCACTTTGTGCATAGAGCAGGAAACACAATGTTGCATCACAGCAGACCATAAAACCACAGCACACAGAAGGCTTGTTCCAGACTGAACCTGCTTGTGTTGGACACGTACATCTCATATGTCATCTGGATTTTTCATTTAAGGATTTTGTTTCTGATTTGCTCATTCAGTCTCTGGCTTCTTGGTTAGTCACATGAGTTTGTAACAAAGGTGATCTTCTACAGAAGATGAAGATATGCTGGTTGCTTTGTATGCTGTACAGTAGAGCGTGTTGGGACAACACTCCCAACATGTCACAAAGAGTGAGCATTTAATGACAGTAATGTGAATATACTGTATGGTTTAAAAGTGTAACTCTTTATGTAGACACATGCTCACACAACTGCAATACTTGATTAGTGTTTCTAATCAATCACTTATTTTGATGACATCTGCCGACCAGACAATTCCGAATCTGTTTTGTTTTTCAAGTCTCAATAAAATACCTCAAATATAATGTTAACATAACATACTCACACTAGATGCACATAGATGACAGACCCTCAATCTGAGAGGATGTTATCTCAAGAAATCTTCTCTGAGTCATGTGTTTAACTTTTCAGTGTGAAGATAATAAAGACTTTATAGTCAATCAATGGTCAAACTAAGATCACTGTTTATTACAATCAATAAAAACGGCCAACCCTATTTCTTCCCTTGTAGTTCCAACTTCTAAAAAATGGGCTAAAAGTTCAAATATTCTATTCCTCCTTTTGCCTGCAACCCACTCAAGGACCCCTGTTGATCCCCAGAGTCCAGTTTGAAAACCACTGGCCTGAACAAGCAGGCACCAGACTATATACAGGTGTTTGTCTGCACTAGAAACCAGCATATGTATTATACCGTAGTCAGGCATTGTCTTAATTCAGTCAGCGTTAATGGCAATTAGATCTAAATCCTTTCAATATGTGGGGGCAAAACAATTCCAACATCTTACCAGATGATGTGATGGTTTTTAAAAACAGGTCTTAAAACTTTTTATTCAACAAAATGGAAAGAGAGGAGTGAATATATTTAGTATAGTATGTGTATAATGAGTTATAATGTATGTACTATAATACAATTTGCTGTCAGTAGTCCTTATTGGTGATATGGGGTCAGTTATTTTAACTTCTAGAGTTCTTATCCTGGTTCACAATTCAATTTCAGGTGTTTTATTTTGTGTTTCTGCATGTCCATGTTTTATATTGGCTTGAATTTTGGTGAATATCTGAATTTTAATTACATCTGGATCTTGTGTGGTATGTTGTTTTAGAATGTGCTGTATTCTGTGATG